TCCCTCCCTCCCACCCTCCCTTTCTCTCTCTCTCTCTCTCTCTGCTACTTTATAAATGTTCCGTAGAAAATAAAACTATGATGCCTCAAGGGTTTTTGTTGCTACCAATATTACCTCCTCTTTTTTTATGAAAATTATTGTGTAACCAGTCGAACATCAGCGTAAAAAAGCACTTTTAGGATTAACTAATCAGAAGAAAGAATTAGGGTGCGATTACATGGAGCGCGGTACGCGGTTGCCTAGCTGCCTAGTTAGTTAACTAGGCAAGTGTAGGCAACTTGGAAAATAGACGATGCATACGCGGTATATACATGAGACGCCCGGTATACGGTATTCTTGAGCTCAGTGCGGGCTATGCCATTTTTGCATATTTTTTGGGCATAAGCGGTGCCGGCTGGTGCCGGCTTTAACTTGGTATGACTGGCCAAGTTTATCTCGTTTAAGAGGACCAGGGCCAATTCAATCTCGAAGAAGAAGAAGAAGAAGCGGTATATACATGGTATCATTTGGTATAGTCAACATAACCGTTAAATTAAAAATTTTCACGATAAGTGATCCTGTAAGTAATGTAAACATTTATCACAATATTAAGACTGATAAGTACAGGCGATTTTTGGCGTGCTTCTGGTATAGCAATCGCGACTATAATTGTAAGGCTATCTTCGTTTTCAGAGATCAGAAGACAAAGATAGCCTCAATTGCGGTTACTTTTGGTTGCTATACCAGAAGCATGCAAAAAATCACCTAATATGTTTCTGAGATAGGTTTCAATTAATTGTATACCATTTAATAAAAATTACTTCTTTAATATCTTTTCAATCATTAAAATGTGGCTATTGCAACTTTATTCTACGTAGTTTTTGTGGCAATGCTCTTGCACATCACTGTTTCAATGGTTTTGACGAGAACGTGTATGCCCTAAACGTCAGTGATGACTCGATCGTTACAATGGGTAAGTGTAAAACATTCTTATTGTGTATTGTCGCTCTTATATGTATTCATAATTATCAAAGTAATTGAATAAAATTGATTTCATAATTATTATTTCACAGTACAGAGGTATAACAGTGGCGCAGAAGAGATTGAAAATATCCATGAGGATGTAGCAGAACCAATACTTCAAATAAATAGTCTGATGGAAAATATCGACGAATTGTTCATCGATCTGGTTCATGATCGTAAGTCTTTATGGGACAGCAGATTACCTCTCAAAGATAGGATAAACCTGAAACGAGATAGTCTATGGAACGAAATTATCAATACACTCGGAGGTAAGACTATTTTATATTATATTAACATATTATTTATATACAAGGTATTATTAATATATTATTTGTAAAGTTAGTATTTATATCCATGTGTTATGTTCACGTCTGTTATATCTGAATCGTATCGACACTCGTTATATCTCGAGGAGTGCATCGCCCTGACGACGAGACGCTCGTTTAAAAAAAAACACGCTTGTCAGATAGAAAGGTTGCAGTCTCCGTGCTTAAACATGCCTTCTGATTGGTTGATCGTTTTTACCCGTTGTTTTATGTTCGTTTAATAAAAAGTTCTTGTTTTGTATTATATACATATGTGGCTGCGTTTTGTTTCACGCATATGCGCACATTCCCCTATAGTATACGTGATGCTCACTATATAAAATGCGCGCCTGAAACGGAACTCAGCCGTGTTGTTTATTTCCGCGGTTAGGGAGTGTACGCGTTCACGATTCACGGTCTCGAGAGCGTGTAACAATACTAAAAAATTATATTAAAAATTGTAGGAACATTAACTGTAAAGGTTGCAAAACAAAAATGGAAACACTTGGCGCGATGCCTATATAAAGACTCGTAAGCGTATGCAGGGATATGTACCAAGGATCTGGGGCAGAAGCTGGATATCCTCTTAAAAGCACGTTTGCTCATTATGACAGAATGAGATTTCTCGATGATACATTAAACACAATGCCGTAAGTGTTAATATTATGTTACTTGTATATTAATAAAATAATAAAAAAATTTAAATTGCAGGACCGTTAACTCTGTGCGACATTTTGCGAACAACTTGACACAGAGCAGCAGCAGTAGTTCTACCGATACTGAGCTGTTTGATGCCAACATAAACATCGTCGATAATGTTGGTAATAGAATGGAGGGATTAATCTCAGATACGGATCATTCAGAATCTACAGTTTCGAGCACAGCAAGATCAAACAGTAAAAAGAAGTAAATAGACCTTTTGTATATATGTATTACAACTTTTATAATAATTTTTCAAACTCCGAACTTGCGATTTCTTACGACTATTCTTGTACAAACACTATTTTGTACACTTGTGAATACGAAATTACTAATGGAATATAAATCAATTACACAGAAACAGAGATTCAGCTGAAAAGTGAATTTCTAGAATTGATGAAGACATCATTCCCAAAGCGAGATGTGGTGGACAGCTTTGTGGAGCAGCTAGCTGATATTTTGCGTCGTCTACCGTACCCTAAGCGCAGAACTCTACAAAGAAATCTTATGGATATGGCAATTGCTACAGAAGAGTTAGAGGAGCAGAATAAGCAAATATAAGTTTACTTAATTTTATTTATGCATTCTGTGCCTCTCTATTTTTTATTTATTCTTACATTTGAGACATGTATCCTTATTTACAGATTAATGGGATTAATTAAGTATCGCTCAGATTTTCAGTATTGCTTAAAAACGTATATTTTATTTTTTTGTTAGCTCGTTAATAATGAGAAAAGCTAATATTAATGAAGAGACTGGATTAGCAAAACATTCAAGTTACAATATATTAATAAATCATTCGTAAGCATTAATAGATGATAAGAACAATAAAAATCTGTATATTGTTAGTAGATAATTAAGTATTCATTTGATTCATTTTTTGTTAAATTGACATGTTTATTACCTAAATCGTACAAGTTAATCGCATTGATATGACGTGTTTACATACATGGTAACATATATTTTATCTTTTTGTTAGCTCGTTAATAATGAGAAAGGTTAATATTAATAAAGAGACTGATCAACAAAACTTTTAAGTTATATTAATAAATCATTCGTAAACACATTAATAGATGATAAGAACAATAAGAATCTTTATATTGTTAGTAGATAATTAAATATTCATTTGATTCATTTTTTGTTAAATTGACATATTTATTATCTAAATCATATAAATTAATCGCATTAATATGACGTGTTTATACATGGTAACGTAATTTACATAAATGTAATCAAATATAATAAAGTGGTCTAATTAATAAAAAATTATTATTTCAATAAAAAATGGTATTTTTTTTTATTTTGCAAAGTATTTTCAAATTTTATTAAAAATCGTGAGACAAAGCTTTCTCCCATTGCTAAGGCAATGGAGAGATATGCTCAAAATAATAGGCAAAGTCATCTCGAATTTTGACTGCTCTCAAGTTTTGTGATCCATTATTGTCACTTATAGGTATGAGTTCACTACTGGTATTAAGCTCGTTAAGAAAATCTTCATTTCTACTATATATTCTATCTCGCGCCAACAAGTGCATTTCCTCATTGATGATGAAGTTATGTAAAACAATTGTTGCCTGCACAGCTTTAATGACGGTAGAAGTAGACGCAATGATAGGTTAACGGTAAATTCTCCATCGCCCAGTTAAAATTCCGAAAGCGCATTCTACTGTTCTCCTAGCTCGGCTGAGACGGTAATTAAAAAATTTTTTTGGTTGTATTTAAATTACGACTTCAAAGGTACGATCTCATCATATATGTATTTAATGGAAAACCTTCGTCTCCTATTAGTACAAACGGGAACTTCTTATCAGTAAAACTAATACGCGCAGGTGGAGGAATGAACAATGCATTTGACTGAAATAAATAAGGCAATCCACTGTTGTCAAACACACCTCCATCACTTTGTCTCTCTTGAGCTCCAATGTCAACAACAAGGATCAAAGCGTTGCTTATGGCAAGTAAGTTGATGCTGTGGTTTCCTTTATAATTGTAAAATGTTGAGCCACTACGAGATGGTGCCTGTAACAATCAAATATTATATATATTTGCATTATTAGATTACTTACTTTACAAGTATGCATGAATGTTTTATATATAGGTACACATATAATATGTACCTGAATGACAACGTGTTTTCCATCAATGGATCCTATACATTGTGGAAATTGACATATCCTTTCAAAGTCTTTTGCAACCTTGCGCCAATTTCTTTCACTGGGAGTAAAAAGTACCTCCTCTTTTAAAGCATGCCATATCGCTTCACATGTTTCTGGAATAATTTTAGAAATTGTACATTGGGCAATACGATAGGCATATGACAGTGACACCATACTGTCATCGCAAGCTAACCAACGTAGAGTCACCTGTAATCTCGTTCAAGCTGGTATTGGATTTCAAATTACTTTTTGCTTTTCAATGCTAGGGCCAACTATTTCCAATAATTTGTTGAACATCGATGCAGACATTCGGAAATAATTAAAAAATGTATTATTATGTGACAACTGTATTTCAGGGACGAAATTATCGCTGGCACTTTGCAAAAATCTTCTCTCTTCGGAAAAAATTGGTCTTACCCATAGGCTTGGATTGTGTTCATTTTTCAATTCTTGATAGTAAAGATAAATATAAAACATAGTCATAACTTTCTTTATTGTAATTTCTGCATACCTCTTCGGCTGAGTTCTTACTTGCTTTAAAAATGTTATCATAATCATCAACATCAGATTTTCAGTTTCCATGATGAAAACCTACTTTAACGAAAAAATTGTATGCTTTTCGAAATTATTTCTCGTTATTACTCTGTGATAATTTTTAGTTCTTCATCTTCTGATTTTTCTTTTTTAGATTTCTGATTTAAATGTAGTCACAGTATCATGCAGAAATGGATCCGTACTAAATAGTCTCCTCGGAGAGCAGAGGTCTCAATTTTAGTAAAATCTTGTGTTGAATATTATCTTAGAGGTCTTGTCAGTACTTCATTTCCACGATAAGACGCCAGCCCAGCGAATAATGGAATCGATATTGAATTGACGATATTCAATTCGACGTCGATTTAATGATTTCGACGATGAAACGATGTCGATTTCTTAGTATTTCGTCGGTAATGTAGCACGTAATTCTAGCTTAAAAATAGACGTTATCAAGAAGTTATAGAAAAAAGGTTGATATGGTCGTTTCAGGTTTCTTTCTGTATCTATTAGGCTGGGTCCACAATCTCTCTTTAAGAAGCTCTAAGCCGTAAAGCCGTAAGAAATTGACCAATCACAGTCGAGTATTTTTCTCGCATTCAACTATGATTGGTCAATTTCTTACAGCTTTACAGCTTAGGGCCTCTTGAAGCGACGTTGTGGACCCAGCCTTAAGAATGAAAGTAAATTTCTGAGTTTATAAAAGACTCCTGTAATAATAACATTCCATTCATATAGAATATTTACATTAGGTTGAAGGACAATCACGAACACTCTTTAGTTCCAGCTATCCATGATCAGCAGAAATTTTTGGTTATGTCCAGTTAACGATTAACCGCGTACCGCGTACCGCCTATTTCTTTTCTCTGATATTACATGGAGCGCGGTTTGCGGCACGGGCTAGTGACAAACTTACATGTAATCGCACCCTAACCAATACGTAAGCTCATTGGTAAATGTTACCTTTTGAGTAGCGACCTAATAGGTAAGTTAGAACTTACCAAAAGAAACAACCGGGCCATAGACAAGATGAATGTTATTATATACGTTGGCGTTGGAAAAGTTAAGCCCATGGCACATACAAAACGTAAAGCGGGGAGCACAGACTTTTGCATAACGCATAAAGCATGTGCATAAGGAATTTCATTGGTCCATTTTCTTATGCATGAGTCAATGGACCAATCAAATTCTTTATGTATATGGTTTATGCGTTATGCAAAAGTCTGTGCTCCCCGTTTAAGGCCGTAAAACATAATCAGTAAGCGAATTGGCCAATCACAGTAGAGACCGTAAGGCCGGTAGCGAATCCAATGTTACGATTTCCTTACTGATACGTCTTACGGCCTTACGTTTTTCTATGTGTTTCTGGCTTTACTATTGTGCACAAATTATTATAACTAGGTCAGTGCAAGTACTTGGGGCCACTGTCACCAAGCTTCGATTAACTAATCGGCCTAGTAACTTTGCAGGCTTCCAACTGAAGTTGATGTCGGAGCTGAGCCACAGACTTCTATATATACTACTAGACTGCTAACTTGTTTGAAAAAGTGGACCCCAATTTCGATTGTGCATTATACGCATGCGTCAAGAACCGCACCGCATGACCCGTGCGACACATGCGCATACATTAGCACGCTCATACGTATTTTGACAATTAACCTGGGCCCCGATTCTCTAATCCATCGTAAGAGAAACGTATACGAAAAATTAGGAAAATGCTATAGTATACGTAACGTGTACCGTAGAAGAGGTAAAAGAGGTGTTTATAGAGGTATTTAAGAGGTGCTTTATTTCAGATTAGTTTATCAGTTTAGATAATTTCGTAATATATATAAATATATTTATATCACATAATATAAATATACTTGATATCACAATTTTTATTTACTTTGTATTTTTTACACATTTATGGACTTTATGGACTTTTTAAGTTAACTAATAATTCTTACTGAAAAAAACTCAGCTTATCAATACTTTGTATATTGTAATTGTAACATGTTAGAAAGGCACACTTTGCTGGCATCGTAATTAAAAATGGTTTTTAAATTGTGGTACATATACTGTAATAATAGGTAAATGTTAAGAAAAGCCCCTTCATCACAACTTTTAATAAAAATATACAATCGATGAGTTTTTGCATGAAACGAAGGAATCTGGCAGAAAAAAGTGTCGCTCTGCCTCGCGAACCGAGATATTAAGCATTAAAGTGAATTTATTTTTAAAGTAATGAATTTCGTAGCTGTGACAGATGTACTAACCTACATGGTTGTCAACTTTAACGCTTAATATCTCGGTTCGCGAGGCAGAACGACACTTTTTTCTGCCAGATTCTTTCGTTTCATGCAAAACCACATCAATTGGGTATATTTTTATCAAAAGTTAAGGTGAAGGGGGTCTTCTTAACATTTACCTACGGCTATAATACGGCTGCTCGCAATATCGCAATCAATCGCAATCAGCACAGGACACAGCCATATTACATTCCTTCGGTGTAGTTTGTAACGCATGCGCAGGATCATTATAAATTTTAGGGTCCACTTTTTACAAGCTTGTATTAAGGGAGTTAGCAGTCTAGTAGTATATATAGAAGTCTGTGAGCTGAGCTCACATTAAAGCGGGGAGCACAGACTTTTGCATAACGCATAAACCATATACATAAAGAATTTGATTGGTCCATTGACTCATGCATAAGAAAATGGACCAATGAAATTCCTTATGCACATGCTTTATGCGTTATGCAAAAGTCTATGCTCCCCGCTTAATACTCCGACATCAGTTTCAGTTGGAAGCCTGCAAAGTTACTAGGCCGATTAGTTAATCGAAGTTTTGTGACATTGGCCCTCAGTTCAGTATAAAAATTGTACATGCATCTAGGGTGCGTTCCACTTAAGGCTACATAGAAGTCGTATGATCGTAAATGCAGTCGCAATTTCAAAGTCGTCTAAATGGAGGCGCAGTCGTATATATGTATACAGTCTACCATGATATATATCATGCTGTCTACAATAAATCGCTAAGCGCGGGAATTGACAGGAATCGTTTATTTCTTCCGTATTTATTATTTAGGCAGTTCCTATAATAATGAATTTCCAAGCATTAATTTCTTCATTATTCCTCTTGATTTTTCGTATTCATCTGCAATTAATGTATTTGCATATGAAAAATAAGAAACATCACGTAAAACAACGTCGATGGTGGGTGCGTCCCATAAACCAGGTTAGAAGAGAACAAGGATTTTTTAATAATCTGTTTCGTAAAGTATAATATGAAACAGATCACAAGGAATTTTTCAGCATGACAAGAATGCTTCCAGAACAATTTGATCAATTGTGCGACAGAGTGAGGTTATATCTTACAAAAAGGAGTAATCGAACACCAATATCAGTGGAAGAACGATTGGCAGTAACCTTACAGTAAGTAGCATAATCTCATCTATTAATTTATTAGTTGAGAGAGACGTAATTACGATTTTTTTTATATTCTCTTTCATGTTTTCATATACAAATTTCATATACATTCTTAGCTCATGGTGATAGCGTGAGATCAAAGTCATGGGAATATTGTATTGGCAGATCAACAGCTTATAAAATTATTGGAGAAACATGTGATGCTACCTAGAAAGCTCTTCGAAAAGAATATCTACCATGGCCAAGAAAAGAGAGATGGACAGAGATAATAAATGAATTTTATAATGAATGGAATTTCCCTAATTGTATTGTGGCGTTAGATGGTAATAAACACATCTCAATTTAAGCACCTCCGAATAGTAATTCCATGCATTGCAACTATAAAAAAATGTATAGTTTTATATTGATGGCCACTTGTGACGCAAATTATAAATTTTTCATGGGTTGATGTTGGCGACATCATATGATTAGTATTATGGTACATAATTATAATATATTCTAATAAGATTTATATATAAAGGAATAAAAAACATTTATATGTACTTACAGGGTCAAACAGTGATGGTGGAGTGTGGGCAAATAATGAACTTAGAAAAAGTTTAGCATCTCAGACTGATGATCTGCCACCTCCAACAACTCTTCCTGGTACACTAACTAAATGCATTATCATGTGCTTTTGTAGCAGATGATGCTTTCCCGTTGAAACGCTATTTAATGAGGCCAAATGCAAGAAGATCATTGAAGATAGATTCGGAAAGGATTTTTAATTATCGTTTATCAAGAGCAAGAAGGACCATAGAAAACAGTTTTGATATTCTCGTATCTCGTTGGAGAATTTTACGCAAAGCAATACAAAGAAGAGAGCTCACAAATTAATTCTCGCATTGATTGTACTTCACAACTTAATTATGTCAAGTAATTTTACAAAATATTGTCTTTCAAATTTCATAGATCGTGAGAACGATGACGGAACTATAATACATGGGGAATGGTGTCATGATAACGTTGAAGGTACAGTTTCAAATTTACGTCAGGTTGGATCAAATCATGCTATTCTTACATCAGCGTAACATGCTTCGGGATTATTTTATGAGTGATGCAAAATCAATTTCCTGGCAAAATGATTATGCTTTGAGAGGCTATAATATCAATAATAGTTAGATCTTTAAATAATTAGTAAAAACTTATATCATTAAAAGCAATATATATTGTGCATAATTATATTGTGTTTCATATGTCATAAAGTTGTGTTATTGTGTTTCATATTTTTTAATTATATTGTGTTTCATATTTCATAAAGTTTTATACGTATATGTAAAAAATGTAATATATTTTTATACAAAATACATACATATTAATAAATTATTTCCCTGAATTTTATTTTTCCAATATAATTGTTAATTGGAAATTTATGACATAATATTAAGTACATTTAGAAAATATCAGTAGTACAATGATTATGAGCATTATGATTATTGTTATTATTATTTTATTTTATTATCAGTAGTGTAATAATTACTGAGCATTTACAAATTAAACTTAATATACCTCCCAGGTCAAAAACTAATTGAGCTATACTAGTTATTAGAAATATATATAAATTTATTATTAATAATTACATCGGTATATACGGAAAAGTTTCGACTTCACAGAGTCCTCAACAATCGCAACCGAATTCTTAAAAATTAATTAATTTTTTTGTTCTTTTTATATTATTTTTCTTAATTTTTTTGGTATATTACTAATATACATTTTTTGTTGAATGTAATTAACAGGAATGTTAAGGATTATAGGATAATTTGGAAAAATGTAAATAAAATGCAAAAATTTGTAATTTAACGAGAACATGTGCGCAATTTTCAAATAAAAATACAACAAAACAATCTTAATGTTAAATAATAAAGTATAAAAATGAAGAAAATATACAGGATTCTTAATATTTAAAAAACAAAGATAGGCAAAGGCATATAAGAGTCAATTATTTGACTCCAGGAAAATTTTACTCAAAATATATAGTACACGTAACTTCTTATACTATAGTATATAGAGTAAAATCTTCCTCGAAGAGGACGTTTTGGAATGTAGCCTTAAATTTAATGGAATCAGCTATTTTTAATAATAATGAATAAATCTCATAATTGGCTACAGTTACGCCAATCAGAACGCTTAACACTGGTCGTGCTTCTCTTATGCCTATTTCCATCAATATAGGTTAATAACTATATAGTATTAACTTTAGTTGCGTCCGTTTTCATGAATTCGATGATCCTTTTATATTTTGCAATAATTTTCACAAGAGCCGTAATTTCGGAAGGAGTAAAATTACTCGCACGCTCCTTCTTTTTGTCGTTTATCGTAACTAGGACGATTCGCATTAGATTATAATGACATAGATTATTTTTCTAGAAAATATGGAATATTGGTACGATGTTTTCCAATTTGATTATTCCCTAGACAATAGTTTTTTCGATTCGATGTAACTAGAATCGTTACTAAACTGTGTATGTATACACAGGGTACTTTCCAATTACTCAACACATCTTGATACAAACGTACACAGGAATGCACAAAGTGTAGCGTTGTGCATGACTCAATGATCGCGTTCAGCAGATTCAACTGTTGCGGAGCGGATCCGTGAACGCTCACTGCTATTGGATGATCTAAAAAATATATCAATGGTCGCGTTCAGCAGACTCAACTATTGCGGAGCGGATCCGTGAGCGCTCGCTGCTATTGGATGATCTAAAAGAATATACCAATAGCAGCAA